CCTGACTTCAAGAGTAAGAAGAAACAACAAGGACAAGGATACAAAAATTATGCTACCATGATGACAGAAGAAACTACAAGCTCATCTCAAGGCCAACAGATGGGACAACTGTTCACTGATAAACACATACTGGAGCTTCTAAACAAAACATCTGCAGGTGATTGTCATACACTAATGGCAGGTATAACCACATTGTTGTCTGATGCATCTTTATGTGAATGGGTAGTAGACACAGTAGCATCTCACCATATCACATGTCATAAAGAAATTTTATCTAACATAGAGAACATTGAGCAACACAAGAATCATAAAGTATAGGTTCCAACAGGTAGCAAATGTTCAGTAACACACAAAGGAAATACTTCAATTCTCCAGGAATATGAACTAAAAGATGTGTTATATATTCCAGATTTTAAGTTCAATCTATTGTCAGTTTCCAAACTGACCAAGGAGCTGTTGTGTTGTGCTCTATTCTTCCCTGATTTTTGTGTATTGCAGGGCCTTTATAATGGAAAGGTGATGGGGATTGGTAGAGAGAACTGTGGACTTTATATTCTGAAATGGAGAGACAATCCAGTAGCAGCATTGGTCACCAAGGATACTGATGAGTGTAGTCTTTGGCATATAAGATTGGGACATCCATCAATAATGGCAATGAATCATATATTTGCCTTAAAAAATAAAGTAGTGGATAGTTTACAGCATAACTGTGAAGTATGTCCTTTAGCTAAGCAAAGTAGATTGAAATTTCCTCTCAGTGGCAGTAAGATTGAGTGTATTTTTCAGCTTATTCATCTTGATGTTTGGGGTTCTCACAAGCTTCCTACATATTATAGGAAACATTATTTTCTTACAATTATGGATGCCTTTAGTAGATATACCTGGGTGTGCTTGTTGCAGTCTAAATGTGAAGTTGTAACAGTGTTGAAAGACTTTCTTATAATGGTAAAGACTCAGTTTGACATGAATGTGAAAGTGTTAAGATCTAATAATGGAAGAGAGTTTTTTAATTCAACTGTAATGAACTGTTAGCATTCTTAGGCATTGTGCATCAAAGCAGCTGCACCCCAACAGAATGAGGTGGTGGAAAGAAAGCACATACATATACTTGAAGTGGCTAGAGCATTGCAATTTCAGAATTTTGGGGAGATAGCATCAAGACAATTATTTACCTCATCAACATGTGGCCTACACCCATACTGCAAGGAAAATCTCCTTATGAAGTTTTGTATAATAAAACACCTGTTATTGATCATTTAAAGGTGTTTGGATGCTTATGTTTCTCTAGCAACCTACCAAACGGAGACAAGTTTGCAAAGAGAGCAAGAAAATTAGTCCTCATAGGTTACTCAGAAGTTCAAAAGAGATATAGATTGTTTGACTTAGAAACTAAAACTATCTTTGTAAGTAGGGATGTTAGCTTTAGAGAACATACTTTCCCTTTTAAGGAAAATGTAACCATTCCACAAGATCCATTTCCCACACAAGCTTCTATCAACCTGCGACGACCCGACCAGTCGTCTCATGAGTTACCGCTCCGATTCCCCCATTTCTTCTTCTTATTGCTTTGTCTTTGGTTCTTTGTGTGATCGGGTTAGGTGGCTCGAGTTCGGAAAGGATTAGGTAAGGCTTGAGACACTTAGTCTCTTTTGAGGAAGCTTAAGTTGGAAAAGTTAACCGGATGTTGACTTAGGTATTAGAGGGATCAAATGTGAGTTCCGATGATTCGAATAGCTTCGGGAGGTGATTTGGGACTTAGGAGCATGATCGGAATGTGTTTTGGAGGTCCGGAATAGATTAAGGCTTGAATTGGCGAAATTGGATTTTTGGCATTTTCTGGTTCATAGGTGAGATTTTGATAGGTCGTAAGGGAATTCTGAGAGTTACAGTAGTTCCGTTGTATCATTTGGGATGTGTGTGCAAAATTTCAGGTCATTCGGACGTGGTTTGGTTGGGTTTTTGATCAAAAGCGGAATTCAAAAGATTTTGGAAACTTAGGCTTGAATCCGATGTATTTCGGTTGATTCGATGTTGTTTGAGGTGTTTTGAAGATTGGTATAAGTTTGAATAGGGTTATGGGGTATGTTTGTATTTTTGGTGGAGGTTCCGGGGGCCTAAGGGTGATTTCGGATGGTTGATGGAGAAGCTTGGAATTTTGGTGAAGCTGCAGATTTGCTACTTCTGTTTTTTTCGCACCTACGGAGTGGGGACCGCAGGTGCGACATCGCATATGCAGATGATTGGTCGCAAAAACGGAGATAGGATGGAAGGGTTGTGACCACAGAAGCGGTTAGTGAACCGCACCTGCGATGGTGCAGGTACGGTTAGTGCATCGCAAATGCGATATTGGTAACATAAGTGAAAACCGCAGAAGCAGTTCGTTGACCGCAAATACGGTACCGCAGAAGCGGGAATTGGGTCGCATATGCAAAAACCCTGGGCCAGAACATATAAATTGTTTCTTTCACGATTTTTGAGCTATTCCACCATTTCTAAGTCGGCTTTGGAGCTTTTTGGACAATTTTGAAGAAGGTTTCAAGGGAACTTCATTGAGGTAAGGATTTTGGACCTAAAACTCGTTCCTATGGTATTATTTCACGGATTAGAGCTATAGTTAATGGAATTTAAGGGTTAAAATTGGGAAAACTAGGGCTTGGTATTGGAGACCTATACTTGAAGATTTGAGGGACCATTTGTGGTCGGATTTTGGTACTTTTGATATGTATGAACTCGCGGGGAGATGAGCAATCTATTGATGTGAATTTTATCGAATTTCGAGACATGGGCCTGGGGGTCAGGTTTTGGTAATTTCGGGATTTAAGTTGTAAATTGATTATTTTCCCTTAGGCTTCGTTTCCTTAGCATATTTTGATGTCGTGATTCTGATGTTGGATAGATTCGACGTGAGTGGAGTCCAATTCAAGGGGCAAAGGCATCGCGGGCTAGAGATTTGACTGGATTAAGGTGAGTAATGATTGTAAATGATGCCCTGAGGGTATGAAACCCCGGATTGCACATCGTTGTGCTATATTGAGGTGACACACGCTAGATGATGAGCGTGGGGTCATGCACTATTGGGGATTGTGACTTAGTCCATCCCGAATGACTGTTTTATCGCGTATTTGACTGAAAACTCTTTGCTATCATCATGTTTTGGGCTGAATGCCATATTTGGGCTTCGTGCCAACCATTTGAACCCTTGGGGGTTTTATTGATATTTTCTCACTGTTTTGACTTTATACCTGAATTCAGTCATGCTATATTCTACTGTTTGTATGACTCACCCATGTTTACTCTGCTTTAACACTTAAATAATAATTTTTAAATGATATTTTGGGCTAAGCATCATATTTTACTATTGCCCGAGTGACTTTGAGATTTTGATTGAGTAAGGCCGAGGGCTTATATTGTGAGGAAACACTAATTGTGATTATGAGGCCGAGGGCCTGATATTTGTGCGCCACGAGGTGGCTTGATGATATGAGTCCGAGAGCCTAGTAGTGATGCCACGAGATGGCTTGATATTGCGCTTGGGCCATAAGGAGCCCCTCTAGGAGTCTGCACACCCTTAGTGAGCGCGGGTAACCATTATGATGTGAGATATAGCCTGAGGGGCTGATATTGTTCTGAGATATTGCCCGAGTGGCGGATTTGTTGACATTGTACTCGAGGGGCGAACCTTTATGTGCTTATCTTCTTTATTGCCTATTATTTACCTGCTTAATTATTAAAAAGGCCTTTTATGTAGTTTTAAACTGAACTCAGTAATTTTGCACATCTTTACTATTTCACTGTTTTACCGACTTTTACTGCTTCATTATAGCATGTAATGTGTCTTACGTGATTTCTTGCTTTCAGTCTTTATTTATGATTATTACTCACTGAGTTGGAGTACTCACTTTACTCCATACACCTAGTGTGCAGATTCAGGCATTGCTGATCCTGCTAGCGCGAGTTGAGAGCTCCTGGTAGACTTCGAAGTTCACGAGGTAGCTACTTGGCGTCCGCAGTCCCGTGCTTCTCCCCCTTTATCTCATTTCTTTTCTCTTATTAGTGGCTTTTTAATAGCTTTGTAGACTTTTCAGACTTGTATTTGAATTGGTAGATGCTCGTGACTAGTGACACCCCGATATTGGGCTGTGTTGGGTTTTATTTCCGCAAACTGTAACGTTCACTGCTTACTCTTGGATTATTTACTATGTTTTAGACATCAATCTTATTGTTTAACTGCTTAAAACTGAAATGGAAAAGTGTCGGCTGACCTTGTCTTCGCGAGAGGCGCCATCACGACCGAATCCGGGTTTAGGGTCGTGACACCACCATATCCTGATTCCTCATTGCCTACATCCACAGACCCTCACATTCCACCTACATATAATATTTCAGTCACAAAGAACACCAATACACCTATTACAAATGTCCAACACCTTGATCACAAAGATCAAAACATAGAAACAACAGAGGTTGAGCATGATAAGCAAGATACCTACACTGACTTAGTTCCAAACACTGAGTCAGAGATAAATGTTACTCCAGACAATAGCATACCTGTGATTAGAAGTGATCAAGAGCCTAGGAAGACTACTACGACATCTAAACCTCCAGTTTGGTTGAAAGACTACCAAACTACTCAGAAGTTCTCTAGCCAATGCTTATATCTATTAACTGACACCCTTACTTATGCTAATCTCACAGCAGGTTATCATACATACTTGCAGGTTTTTTCAGCTGAAGTTAAACCTACTACTTTTCAGCAGGCTTCCACTGATAGCAGATGGGTTACAACTATGCAACAGGAGATCCAAGCTCTTGAAAATAATCATATTTGGGAGATAGTGGACTTACCAGCAGGGAAGCAAGCTATTAGTTCCAAGTGGGTATACAAGATCAAATACAAGGCTAATGGAGAGGTATAAAGATACAAGGCAAGGCTGATTGCTAAGGGCTATAATCAAAAGGAAGGGCTGGACTACCATGACACATTCTCACCTATAGCAAAGATGGTCACAGTCAGGACCATTATCAGCATAGTAGCTGCCAGGGGTCGGCCTTTATCTCAAATAGATGTTAGTAATGCTTTCTTAAAAGGGGATCTCTATGAAGAAGTTTATATACTGTTGCCTCAAGGATTTCATAAACAGGGGGAGTTGCAAATGTGCAAGTGTGATGACCCAAAAGGTCATTACTTATTTTAGAAATAAATTCTATATTTCGAGGCCTTAAAACCTTTTTCTGTCTCACCTCGATTTGTGTGCGTAGTCCGGGCACTTATCAAGACAGCCATTATGCAAAAATCTGTGAAAAACGATAAATTTGCTTTTAAAATAAATTTAAGTTGACTTCGGTCAACATTTTAGGTAAACAGACCCGGACCCGTGATTTGATAGTCCTAGAGGGTCCGTAGAAAAATATGGGACTTGGGCGTATGCCCGGAATCGAATTTCGAGGTCCCAAGCCCGAGAAATAAATTTTTTAATGAAAATTATTTTCTGGAATATATATGAGGTTTTGGAAATGAAATGTGTTTGGAATTTTATGGTATCGGGCCCGTATTTTGGTTCTGGAGCCCGGTATAAGTCTTATATGTGATTTAAGTTGAGCCTGTAAAGTTTGGTAAGAAACGGAGGTCATATGACGTGATTCAGAACCTTAGTTGTAAAATTTGAAACTTTGAACGTTCTTGAGATTTCTTTGATTTTGATGCTAAATTCATAGTTGTTGATGTTATTTTGATGATTTTATTGCACGAGCAAGTCCGTATGATATTTTTGGGTTAGTGTACATGTTTGGTTTGGAGCCCTGAGGGCTCAGGTGAGTTTTGGATAGGCCACAGAGTGGAATTGAACTTCGAAAGTTGCAGGTTTTCAGCTAGTATGTTGCAGGTCATTTGTGAAGCCTGGCTCGCAAATGCGAAGAAGACCTGGGCTGCCTTGGTCGCAAATGCGACCTGTTCATCGCAAATGCGATATCACAAATGCGAAACGTCCATCGCAAATGCGATATGGACCGGATTTCCTTCAGTGTCGCAAATGCGTCAAAATATTCACATTTGCGAAGTTAGCAGGTTCTGAAGGGTTCGCATTTGCGAACCCTGGTCGCAATTGCGACATCTGCGACTTGCAAATTCATGACTTAGCCGAAAATCTTTCATTTTTCAAACCCTTTCAAAACATAAACTCTCTTGGGCGATTTTCTAAAGAAAAGTTCTTCTCCAAATCGATTATAAGTCATTTCTAACTCGTTTTCTTCAATATTTAACATCTTTTCACATGATTTCAACTCAAAATCAAGGGTTTTTCATGCGGGAAATTGGGTGTTTTGGGTAGAACCTAGGTTTTTCAAATTTTGGGGATTTAGACCTCGATTTGACGTCCGATTTAAAAATAAATTATATATTTGGGTTCGTGTGGGAATGAGTAATTGGGTTTTGGTTCGAACCTCGGGTTTTGACCATGTGGGACTGGGGGAAATTTTTGACTTTTTGGGAAATTTTTTAGAAAACCTATTTTCATGCATTAGAATTGATTCATTTAGCATTTATTGATATAGTTAAGTAACTTGTGGCTAGATACGAGCGAATTGGTGGTGGAATCAAGAGGTAAAGCGGTAGTTGAGGCTTGAATTGTGTTCGTGGCATCGAGGTAAGTCTTTGGTGTAACCTTAGCTTGAGGGATTAGGAGTTGTGTCCTATTTGCTATGTGCTAGTTGTTGAGTACGACGTATAGGCATGGTGACAGGTATCTATACGTTGGTGTCATGCATGCCCATGAGTCTTATATTATGATTAATGTGACTCCGTTTGTATTGTTTATGCTTTATGTGATGATTTCTATTGTTGAGCAAGACTTGTGGAAGTGATATTTGTATTTGAACATTGAAGAGTGTTGGCTCAAGTTATAAAGTGATTTGTGGAAGTATAATTGAAAATTGAACCTTATAGAGCATTGGTTCAAATTGTGAATCGAGTTGTGAAGTAAAGGTGAAATAGAAAAGAGGATTATGATATTGTCTCCCTTGTCGGGATGTTGGTGTTTAATGTTGTCTCCCTTGCCGGGATGTTATTGTTGATATTGTTTTCCCTTGCCGGGATATAACTGTTGTACTATTGTTCCCTTGCCGGGATTTAATCGTAAATTTGTTGATTTCCTTGCCCTTATTGATTTCCCCCTTCTATCCTTAACTGTACATTCTTGCTTTTATTTTTTGCTGTATATGATTTACTGCACAGATTTATTTGGTAGTCTGGTCCTAGCCTCGTCACTACTTCGCGGAGGTTAGGCTAGGCACTTACCAGCACATGGGTCGGTTGTGCTGATACTACACTCTGCACTGTGTGCATATCCCAGTGCAGCAGCTTTCGGACCTTAGCTTTGGGGTTGCTGTCTTCAGTCCATTCAGAGATCCGAGGTAGTCCTGCAAGCGTCCGCAGGCATTAGCGTCTCCTTATATCCTTTTATTCTGTTTCTTTTATGTATTTCAGAGACAGTATTGTAATAAATCTTTTGGACCTTGTTTGTAGAACTCTTAGATAGTCTGTAAAATTGTGACACTAGTCGTTCGTAGCGTATGTATGGATTGGTACTGACATCTTTATTAAAATATTATAAATCAGTCTTCCGTTTATTAAAGTATGTTGATTATATAATGTTGGTTCTTAATTGTTAAAGGATTAAAATTGGGAAAAAGGTAAATAATTCAAATGGTTGGCTTGCCTAGATTTCACTAGTAGGCGTCATCACGACTCTCGAGGGTGGAAAATTCGGGTCGTGACAACATGCTTATGAAATCCCTTTATGGTCTTAAACAAGCTTCTAGGCAGTGGAACATAAAACTCACTGATGCACTTGTTCAGAGTGGTTACAAACAAAGTCCTTTTGATCATTCCTTATTCACAAAGCAGCAAAGAGGGGATAGATAGTCATTATACTTGTGTATGTAGATGATTTGATGATTGCTGGTAGCTCCTCCAACTTAGTCAATAATACCAAGAAAATTCTACACAATAAATTCAAAGTTAAGGATTTAGGCAAGCTGAGATATTTTCTAGTAATTGAAGTATCAAGATCAAAGAAAGGAATCTTGCTCAATCAAAGTAAGTATGCTTTGAAATTAATTTTAGAGGTAGCTTAAGTGGTGCAAAACCAGTTGCAACTCCTATAGAGTTGAATAAAAAATTGACAACTGTGGAGTATGATACATGTGTTGGGAAGACAGGAGATTTAGAGCTGAAAGATAATTTAGCTTATCAAAGATTGATAGGAAGGTTGTTTTACTTAACTATCACCAGACCTGATATAAGTTTTGCAGTGCAAACTTTGAGCCAGTTCATGCAAAGACCCGAACAGTCATATATGGAGGCAGCATTGAGAATAGTGAGATACGTCAAAGGAGCACCAGACATGGGATTGCTGATGGAAGCAGGACCTATTGATCATCTAACTGCTTACTGTGATTCAGACTGGGCATCATGCCTTAATACAAGAAAATCTATGACAGGATTTATTGTTAAATTAGGTAATTCTTTGATATCATGGAAATAAAAAAAGCAACCTACAGTAAGCAAGAGTTCAGCAGAAGCTGAATACAAAAGTATGGTTGCTGCAACTGCTTAGATCACATGGTTAACAGGATTGCTGGAGGACTTAGGAGTTAAAGTGTCTACACTTGTTACATTGTTCTGTGACAATAAGGCTGCAATACAAATAGTAGGGAATCCAATATTCCATGAGCAGACAAAGCATATAGAGATCGATTGCCACTTTGTCGGAGAGAAAATCAAGACAGGGCTTGTTACTCCATGTCATGTTTCTTCCTCCTTACAACTAGCAAATCTTCTAACAAAAGGACTCACTACAGCACAACATTCTTTTCTAGTGTCCAAGCTTGGTGTGTTAGACATCTTCCACCCTCCAGCTTAAGGAAGAGTATTGAGAGTTAAGTTAGTTAAGTGAGGGCATTTTAATCAATACATACCCACACGTGAGAGTCATGTGTAGGTCGGTTATTTTGTTAAATACTGTTCAAGTCTTGTAACAGGGATTAACAAAAAATGAAATGAAAATTTTCTTCTTCCTTCTTCATCTTCTTCTTCTCTGAATTCTCTAGATTCTAGGATTCAATCTTGTATGCAATTACTATTCTATTAGATTGAAATAAAACCAATATTTAGTTTGATGATTGTGAAATTGCATTCAATATCCACAAATGATTAATGCTAAAATAGATAAACTAGTCTATCTGATTAATTTATGTCACAAGAGAAATATCAGCATTAAGTGGGTTCACCGACTATGCGAATGTGATGAACATGCCCAATCATTCTCATTCCATAACCTTATAAACAATTTAATAGAGTATGTTAAAATGATGCAATTCAATAACTTAGCCAAAATTAGTTAGTTTTCTGTAACAGAAAAATAAAAGTAAACGCTATTAGCAAATTAAGGCATGAACTGGACCATAGTTTTCTATAAACTTAAATCAGTACAAGTGGACATTGTACTTACAAATACGAACAACATGTTTATCCAAACTCTAATTTAAGTTGTGCTTTTATTTACAGCTTGTTTGGATGGTTGTTAGCCATCATTATAAAATATATTGTATTGTATCGTTTTATGAATATAACGTTTGGATAATATTTTGTTGTTAAATAGTACTGTATCGTACTGTACTGTAATTGGTAAGTTTACTAAAATACCCTCAATTGCTTAAATATTAAATTTGTACGCATAAAAATAATTTAAGAAACCCCTTTCTACTAATTCATCACCAAATATGTCTTGTAAATAGATTAAGCAATTAAATTCATGCAAATTCTAACAAAATTAGCAATTTTACGTTGGAGTTGGAAGTGACAGAAGTTCTAGAAAAAAAGGAATGAAGACAAACTGGGTTATAGGTGAGGGATTTGGAGTTAAAATATTTTAAAAATATTAAAAAAAAAGGAAAAGGGTAAAATAAAATTACGGAGTAATAAGTTAGGGCATAATTGGAAAGAAAAATAGAAAACAATTCCACCACACCAAATTGATTGTTTCAAAAAATAAGACTTTTTATTGTTCCGAAACAATAGATTTAACAATACAATACAATCAATTTTAATAAAATAATCAAAATAAATATTATTTTAGAATAACAATACAAAACGATACAACAACAATCCAAACAAGCTGATAACTAGTGAAGTGATGAACTGAGTTTTCAGTTCAGCTGAATTAGGCAGGCACGTGTTTGGAACGAGGTTTGATGTTGACTTGGTATATCCCTATAGTAAGAGGACTTTACAAAATACAACCTTTTCATTATTAAAACAAAATGCAACTGGAAGCAGCAACGAAAACAATACAAGCATTTAATTAATGATTATGAGGTTACATTTAGTATCGATATTAAGAGATGAATGCTAAAATAGATAAACGACTACTTTACCTGATTTACGTCGCATCGAAAAACCGGTACGTAGTGGGTTTATCTACTAGTCGAATCAACTTAATATGTCCAATCTAAACTCGTTCCATAACCTTATAAATAATTCAACACAACATGCTTACTGCTTAAAATCCCTTTCCATAATGCTCATCATAATCCAGAACATAACATAAAATATACAGCTAATTAAATAAACTATTCAACTCCTAAGTCCTATCAAATACAAAACGGAAATCTACAGTCTACTGTAGAGATTAAGGAGCATAGTGTAAATCAACTAGTACAATTCATAACATCAAGGCAAAAGAAAGAAAAGGACCTTTCATATTAGCACGCACGGAACAATATGTGGAGTCAACGAATCTTTAAACTCATCCAAATAACACATTTTTAATCTTAGTATAGTTGAATTCTCTTTCTCTATTTTTGGTAGGAGGTTGGCTTAATTAGTAAAAAGTAAACCATCAGCGTTATAGTTATAACCAAGTACTTTCACCCTTCCAGAATTAGAACTTGATTGATCACCCACTGACTAGCACAAAATCAGTATATGTCAAAGCTAAGTACGCTGGCCAAAGATAATATAAATTATTTATCGTCATAATAGGGATTTGATTAAATAATATTCAAGTAAATCTCTTGCTTAAATACTATTCAAGATGATCAACACTTTAATTTTGAATGATTACTAACTATAATTATTAAGCTAAAACTGTGATTGGCAAATTCGATCACAGAAAAACTACAGAGTTGAGCTAAACATGTTATTATCAATATGAGAAATAAGGGTCATGGCATGATAAGTGCAAGATTGCTATCCTGGATTTGAATAGGTTCTATTGATTCTCATGAATACAATAGGTTATTATTTTATTCTTCTAACTTAGATCCCTCTCTCAATTAAACCCAAGCCGTGTCTCGCGAATATTTCTCAATCTTAATTCAAATAGTGAATCACAAAGCTCTTTCGATTATTTTAAAGAACTACTAAAATAAATTAACGTATGTGTTGTGATAATATTTACTATTCCTCTTTCAATTATACACGATAATGAATAAAATCACAAATAAAATTAAAGCTCCTCCAACAAATTCAAGCAATTAAATAATGATCAAATCCATAAATAACAATCAAGTCATCAAACCATGTCAAACCTTAAAGTAATCTATTCCATAACAGTAGGAGAAATCATCACATATGAAGTTGTAAAATAAGAAAATATTAATCCAACATTACGATCTAAACTCGCGTATTGGATTGATGGAAGGATGATGAATTCTTGTATCTTGAGGTCTCCAATGCTCTCTCAATCTTTCATAGGTCAGAAGTCCATTGAAAAACGTATTTTGAGTATATTTATACCAAGTAGAAACAGATCCGGACCAAATTACCCCTCTAAGCTGAAGTGAAAAAACTGAGCGGTAATATTGCACAGGCGCGGAATACCATGCGCCACCATGTGCCACATTGCAAAATTTCAGAGCCGGTGCGACGCGGTAGTATAATTTTATACGCTTCGGATTTTTCTTCAGTTTTTTATATTCAAACTTGGTACTGGAACTCTGAACACGATCCTGATTTTATACTTTGAGCTTCTACTCATACTTCAAAGCTCACATTCATCAGTTTTAGCTCCAAAATTGTTTCTTAACTCGGAACTATATCCTACACAATATAACACATAATAAATAAAAAATACTAGCAATTAAGCTCAAACACAATTAAAATATCATCAATATAATACAGAATATAATAAAAAATGTGAGTTCCTGACCTACCATCACACAGGGCGAATCCCGTGCCCCGCACCTTGTAGCGATAAGCTAGGAAACTTTTGACCGTTAGCATTATATTTCTTGAGCATGAAAGACATTCACGTGCCTCATCCCAATTCCTACTGTACCATTTTGAGCTTTAAGTACTTTTCTTTGGTCACGCCCATAATTTTAGGCACTAGCCTATTCTAGCATTGCATGTCTTGATTTTCGTCCCTTTCACCTCTTAAGATATTTGAAAAGACAACGGATCCTTAAAGTGCAAATATGCAATTGTTTACCCTTAAAAACATATAACAATTGAATTTATATATGATTTTGAGTATGTATACGGTAGAAATTGGGGATATCGATTTTACTATTTGGTCGAGATAAGAATGGCACGTCGAAGAGCTAGCGCATTGCGTCCGAGATCGAAGCCTCTTTTTAAATCGAGGTCGATATCAATTGAGTACAGAAAGGGACGAACTCCGAATAACATCGGGGTCGGTTTTATAACGGAAAGGGCGAGATATCCGTGATTGCTCGAGGATCGTAGCGTAAATCTCGGAACGGTTCAATCTATGACGGTTAATCAGTTGTAAACGTGATTTTCTACTATAGTTAGAAGTGTACCTTAATTAGGACTCATCTATTATATAAAGAAGAATTCCATTCATTTGGAAGGATCATTATTCACTGATAAGAAAATACACGTTCATTACTTTCTTGCTATTCCACTTACTGTTCATCAAAGTTGCATTATCATTTTCTATTCCTATTATCATACCTCGAGACTATCATAGGTCGAGGTAGAGATTTGGCTTGCACACTTGTTTGAGTTAATTTATCTATTTAATTCCTTATTTATCTATTGGCATTGGATTAAATCACATATCCTTAAATTCAAAATAAGTTTAATTGTTACTCGAATTTTTGGGTAAACAGTTTGGCGTCCACCGTGGGGCTAAGGTTAATAGTGATTGTTCAGTGCTGATTCTGATAACACACATTATTTCACGCTTGTTCTTGTCAAGTATTTTTGCTCTCAGGTTAAAGCATGTCAAAATCACAAAACACACCCATACATGATGACAATGGCCTCGAGTTTCATGGGAAAAACGACAATGTAATTGCTCCAGGGGTCGAAGTACCACCGTCTAATCTCGGGGGAGCACCGATTGTCAACCTAGTCGATGTCAGTTCGCGCGTTGCTTTGAACTCAGACCCTAAAGGGAGCGTACGCAGAGAAGACCGATCTAGTGGCCAAGGTACACAGGGCGGAGGAGACGAAGGAGTTAGTCTCCAACTTATATTCGAGATGATACAGGTTCAACAAGCCGCTATTGCTCAGCTACAAAATCAGCATAGGACTCCGAGTGGGGTTGGTCCAGAAGTCACTCGCCATACTGAGTCAGTGCCAGAAAGGTCGAATGATACGGATCGGGGATCGATCTTGCAATAATGAAAATGTTCGAGGAGCTCACCAAAAGAATCGAGTCAGGGGAGAAGAAAATTGAAGCTAACGATAAAAAAGTGGAAACATACAACTCTCGAGTTGATCAGATACCGGGGTCACCACCAATCTTGAAAGGGATGGATTCAAAGAAATTTGCACAAAAGTCATTCCCTCCGAGTGCGACCCCAAAACTTATTCCAAAGAAGTTTCGTATGCCGGACATACCTAAATACAATGGGACCACCGATCCCAATGAGCATGTTACTTCATATA